CCATTTTTACAAATTGTAGTAAATTAAACTAGAAATGAATAACAACATCTCTTTATATAGTATAATACCTTTTATTAATCATAATAATTATAATATTTTATGATTTATCAATCTGTATAGTATAAAATAAACTTATATAAAGGTTTTTCTGTCTCTATTATTCAAAGCTAAATCAATTTTAAATTACATAAGTTCTACCTAACACACATGAAAATTATCCTGAAGAACCGAATCCTTTTTCTCCTCTATCAGTTTCATCTAATGACCGAAGTTCCCTGAGTTCTGGATACACAATTTTTTCACATATTAGTTGTGCTACTCGATCTCCACGTTGAACGATAAAGTCTACATCAGAATGATTGAATAGGAGAATACCAACGTTTCCGCGGTAATCTTGATCAATTACTCCAGCTAGGATTTAAAAAAAATATATATATAACATTTTATTTAGTGATTAGATTTTATAAGCATACCTCCAACATCAATAAAATGTTTCCATGCTAATCCTGATCTCGGTGCAATTCGTCCATATGTACCATGTGGTACCACAATTTGTAGATCGGTCTTAATCAATTCTTTTCCATGTGCTACTACAATATATTGGTATGCACTTTTTAGATCGTATCCAGCCGCATGTTGACTTCCTCTAATCGGCGTGTATGCTTTATCGGTTAATTTAGAAAATAAAAGCATCTAAAGTTTTAAACAATCATTCATTCATAATAATCTTTATTTAATTTAACCCTAGCTTCATTTACTAATTTTATCATAGCATCATTCGTTTTTTTGTCTAAACTTTTTTCTAATTTTTTTTCTAATTCATCATTCATTAACGTCATATTTATTTTATTTTCCAAACTAGTGATACATTCTTTGAATGAGTTATTTAATTCAGATTTTATTGTTTCTATTGTATTTTTTGAAACATTAGTTATTGATTCATTATGTGTATTTAGTTTTTTTTCTAAACTATCTTTTAAACCAGTCTGAGTTTCTAAGATAGAATTTTTTATACTATTTTCCAAATCAATTAATTTCGAATTTAAATATTTACCAACTCCGATATCATTGAAATGATTTATATGATGACCAAAATAATCCATTATTAATTTAAAAATAGAGATCTTAACAGTGACAAGGACTTCTTATATACTAAAACCAAAACAAAAAAAACTATATTATACGAGTTTACGCACTTCTCGGGTAAATGGCGAATACTCAACTATGCGGTCGTGTATTAACATACAATAAGCACTAACACCAGTTAAATTATCATCAGCTTCTATTTCTAAACGTAAGTCAATTGTAGAAGAAATTTCAGAATCGTTTTGTTTACTAACATCTAAAACAATAATTGGAGCATTTGATAAAAACAATTTTGGACTTAGTATCGGATTTCGAAGTCCATTTTCATAATATGATTCTTGAAACGATGTATACATATTATATAATAATGTAAAATCGTTGTGCGTAAAATCTAAATTTAAATTATCATAAGGATAAACATTTGAGTTCAGAAACACTTTAATATTTTTCAACTTAGAATGATCAAATTCGCTTTTGTCTGCAGCTATTGAATTGTTACGATTTTTTTGGAGGCCTACAATGATATAACGAGGTTTTTCCAATTTCGTTGATGTTTTTAAATTCCATAGTACATTTTTCGTGTTTCCGAGTTCAGGGTAAGTATATGTTTCAAATGATCTAAATGGTATAAACAAATGTTTTTCTTTTTCAACTATTTTCATTAACTTTAGACGCTGGCTATCATCAACACTAACATGAGGAACTTTCCAAACAATATTCTTAATATTCACACTACCTGTAGTTGCATCATCACTTTTTTTAATCAATGCATTTAAATCACTATTTGATCTAGTTAATATGAGTTCTATTCGTGAATTTAATAAAAATTTTCTATAATGCTCAAAAAAGCCTAACCAGTATTTTAGTGGTATACATGCTGTAAAATGACCATTTGTGTCTGATATGGATGAACTATTTTTGAAAGTCCATCCAGCATTTTCATAACAATAATAATTATCTGGTGTACTTGAAAGATATCCTTTGATAGAACTTGTAATACCTAACATTCGTGAACTATCTATCTCGATACCATTTAATTCTAAACGAACTTGTTCAAAAAGAAAAGATAATCCATTATTACCTAGTTTTACTTTATCTTTATCTTCAATGTCGCCTTCGATGTATAAAAAGCTTTCATGTAAATATGGGTATACATCAGTTTGTTGTACACATATCCTAATTTCATCATTATTATTAAAAGCTTTAGTATAAGGAATATATGAGTGAAAATCAAAATTAGTGTATTTTCGAATCTGACACATAACCCATATCAACTTCCAAAATATCATTTTCAGGCATTTCGATTACTTTTTAATTCAAATCCAAGTTGTCTTAAAATATTTTTATTTTTTGACGTAAGATTTATTTTTGTTTTTCTCCTTGTTGCTCGGTTAGATTTCGTTTTGGGAATGGAAGATTTTTTATGTGACGGTTCCTTTATATCTAATATTTTGTTTTGGAAATTAAAAAATTTCAACCCCATTTTATGAACCGTACCGTCTAATATGAAAAACTGTTGTAATTTTTTCACCTAAATTCTTTAGTGGTCTTTGATCCTGATCAACTAACTTTACCGTTATATTATTTATTTCATTTGTTATCAATGGATAATATATTAAGTTGCTAGGTGCTTCAACAATTTTTGATCCGTGTACTGCTGTAGGGTAAAACTCATAGACTGAGTGTGAGGGTTTGTTACCATCAAATGATCCTTGAGCAATACTACATAATACTTTTATTGAATTAATCATACTAATATTAACAGTTTTTTGAGATTCGTGTAATTTATTCGGTTCTAATTCCACTTCATCAAATCCTAAAACATGTCTTAAACTATTATCAATAGTGAAATCGATTGTTTCAGAACAGTAAACATATGATTTAAATGTATTGATGTTTGGAAATATGCTAAATACAATATTTGGATGGGTTTTTTTAATCATGTTTTTAATATATTCATTTATTTGACTTAGTTCATAACACCCTGGTTCTATTTCAAGCTTTAAGATTTCTTTATCCGTTTGTTCACTCAGAATGTGTTCATTACTTTTTGAGAAAAAATCGGAAGATTTATTAATATTACTCGTATATGATTCCGTGAAATATTTAGATAAATGTCTTGGATTATGATCAATAGCATTCTTATCTGATTCTAGTGAAGAACTACTGCTTACAGAAACATCGCGTTTATTTAATATTGTATTGTTCTTTATAATTATTCTCAATTTATTATTGCTTTCATTAATATTAGGAAAAGAATTATATGTCTGAAGATTTAATAATGCTATTTCTGAGTCCTCAGCTATAGTTAGTGATGGAAAAAAATTTGTTGATAACTCTGTAGTGTTACCTGATAAACTTATTGTTGTTGATTCATACATTGTAAAAAATCAATACATAAATGACCACAAATAAATGTATTATAATTTTGATATTTTGAGTAATTATATAAAATATTGTACCCTTTAAAACGATTTTGGAGTTCAATTGGTGGTGGTAAATTACCAAAGCTATCAAAATACCATATGTTGTTATATTTTTTAAAGTAAGCTACCCAATGCGATCCTTTTTGACTTATTCCAGCAAGGTTAATAACCGCACATTCGTTTTTAAAAATAGTTTTTGGTAAGCTGTCACGTGAAAATACACCACGGAAATGTGGAATTTTTAATTGTGCAACATGTTTTATAATGTCTTGAGAGGAAAGAGGTCTATTAGGTAGCATAGTAATTAGTTTTTTTTTCTTAATATTTCTTCTTTTCTTCACACCTAAACCTGATTTGTCTAAGTATAAACCTTTACCATTACGAACATTCAAATATAAGCCTTTACCAATTTTTTTCGTTTGTCCAGTTTTAGAATCTTTAACAGCTTTATAGATATTTGCTGCACCAGACGCAAGACTACCGAGGGCTGAAAGTCCTGCAAATATTGGTATCAAAGGTATAGCAGAACCCCTTTGATTTGGTACCTTAATTTTTCTAACTTTTTTAGACTTTCTTCGAGATATTCTTTTTCTTACTGCTCCAACTAATTTACCACCTTTTTTAGCTTTGCAACAACCCATACCAATTTTACGTTTAGCTTTCATAATGTTAGTAACGGTGTAGGCTGCAGCTTTTTCCCCGAATGAACTATCTTTTGCTTTCACCCTATCCCACGCTTGAAATTCTAATTTTTTATCAGCTAAATTACGGTTTGTTACGTCTTTATTTTTTAAATACGCTATATCGTGGTCACGACAAGCCTCATCAAGAAGATTTATAGGTTTATCACCTCTAGCCAATCTTTTTTCAAGTTTTGTTCCAGGTCCACAATATTTATAACCTGGTAAATGTGCTTCGAACGGAAGTTTATTTATTAGTGTATTAACGAGACCTTTACCGGTTATACACTTTTGCACTCTTGGCATTTCCTATATATACTAAGTATTTTTTCTTAGTTCACAACTATTATATATACAAAAAAAATGCGTTTTATAGAACAGAATAGTAAATTAAATATTAAAAATATAGACACAGAAATTTCTAATAAAGCAATCTCAAGACATGGACCTTTACTACCAGATAGTATCCGATGTATTATTGTTGGATCTAGTGGCTCTGGTAAAACAAATGTAATGTTTAATCTTCTTACACATATAAATGGTTTAAAATTTGAAAACGTTTATTTGTATACAAAAACGCTTAACCAAGAAAAATATATTTTATTGAAACAAATTTTTGATGGTCTAGAAGGAGTGAAGCTGTTTATTTTTACGGAAGCTGAAGAAGTAGTTAAACCACAAATAACGAATCCAAATTCTATTTTTATTTTTGATGATGTGTTGTGTGATACTCAAATACCCATTCAAGATTATTTTAGTATGGGGAGACATTTTGGTGCTAATTCAGTTTTCTTTTTAGTTCAAAGTTATTCTAAAGTTTTAAAACGATTGGTACGCGATAACTGTAATTTATTAGTGGTGTTCAAACAAGACGAACGTAATCTAAGACATATATTTAATGATCATATTTCAACTGATATGGATTATCTAGATTTTCAAAAAATGTGTATTTATTGTTGGGGCTATGAAAAATATGGTTTTCTTGTTATAGATAAAACTAGAAATGTTAATGATGGTCGGTACAGACGTGGTTTTGATGTCTATATAAGCTTGGTGTAAACTGAAATATTTTTTAGTTTGCTAAAATGTCAGAAAACAAAATATTACTTAACAATTTGGTAGAATCAAAAAATAATATTAAGCGGAAAATTATGGAGTTAAAGCGCGGTGTTTTAGATTCTGAATATACATTTAACGAAACATTTAAACCGATTATAGAACCACTTAATATGCTAGTTAATGACAATAAAATGAATAATGTTATTGATGAGGAATTATCTGTTACAACAAATGAGGAAAACGCTGATCCTCAATTATATGAATTCAACAATTTTATGAAATTACCTCCAAATAGAAGATCATATGATCCATCTTATGGTATGCGTTATGATAATATTGATAATCAACTAAAAATTGGTAATTTCCCAGTATTCATTGCCAACAATAAAATTTATGTAGCAGACAAAGACT